GAGAGAGAGAGAGAGAGAGAGAGAGAGAGAGAGAGAGAGAGAGAGAGAGAGAGAAATCTGTGCACTGGAATTTATGTAAAAGGTTTGGCTTTACTATTAAAAAAACTGTTATTCTATTCTCTACTCTACTCTACTCTACTCTACTCTACTCTACTCTACTCTACTCTACTCTACTCTACTCTACTCTTGGGACCACAGACTAGAAAATATTTTTCTAAGGAAAATCTTAGAAAATAATATATCAAGATTGGTGGAGCTGGTATGGATATTATTATTACTGTATTACATTTATGAAATTAGTGTAGTATATACAAACTTCTAAGCAAGGTGGCTTTTTGCAAAGTCAGCAATATCAAATTTAAAATTTCCAAATATTTGGTGAATCTTTGGCATGGTTTTAAAAGCTCCAATTGCTATAAAATTATAGTTGACTTTTTCCTCTAAAGTCTTTCAATTAAATTTTGTTACTTTTTCTATTTGATTTTCATCAGTTTGACTCCCCTGAAATTGCTGTATCTATGAACCATATCTTTTTCCTTTCCATAATAGTAACATTATGTTTCAGGTGTCTGCTGAATTGTGTTTTAAAACCCCCATGAGAGCTTGATCTCTTATTCTTCAAATAAAAACTTCACCATGCTAACTGACTAAATATTTAATCTCCATCATCTGGACAATTACTGGTTTTCCCTGCAGCTATCAAATTTTCCATATGGAAAATGCTGAATACACACAGACTAATCATGAGCATATTTAACTTGCACATTAAGCCCAATGTTATACAACTGTTCTTTTTCCAAATAAATATGAACAGATTACAGCTTTAGCTTCGAATAATCTTGTTTTGCTGAGTATCCCGAGAGAAAAAAACAAACAAACCCTGGAGTGGATAACAATTTAAGTTTTATATTACATCCCTCAGTTTTTAAAGGTTTTGCTACATACCAAAATGTTTTATTAGATTGGTCTGTCAGCAGTCTCATTCAAAAAAATTACACATTTCAAAATAAGAGGAGGATCACTGATTTAAATTCACTCTAATTTACAATTCTTTCATCCAAAATTTAAATGGTTCATCCATATAATACACTTGGCGTGTATTATGGACAATCTCATTGGGTGGAGGGATGACTATTGCCCTCAGATCTGCCCTCCCAGGTTTTCAGTCTCTTAGCAACCTTGAGTTCAGAGCCAGGAGTGTATTACTAAGAATCTTGCAATATAACTTGTTTGTATCCAGATAACTTGTTCTTGAGGTAACAAAATGCAAATATCTGGATGTTAATTTGGATTATTGGAACAAGCTAGGCATCTTCTGATGTACTTTATTTTGACTGTCATTAGCAGCCTAGACTCCAGAATAATTTGGCAACATAAAGTGTGACAAACAAACCCATCTGTTTCATTTGCCCACAACTGATTCCTGGTAAGATGTTATTCTTTGCATGAATTAGCAAATGAATGATGTTCAGCATTTCAGAGATGAAGACACAACATAAAGTTTTGCTGGTGAAAACATAGCAGCTCATACCTGACGCCATTCTCTCTCAATCAGAGCTTCAAAGCCACGAATGGTCCTGCATCTCGGATCCAGAATGATTTGAGCCAGAGAAGTCACCTGTAGTGTTGAATCAGTGCCTTCTGTTCCATGAATCAAGACAGATGCTCCTTCCCTAGGAGATAAAATATGTTTCAAGAAAAGGAACGGCTTAATGGGCTTATCATGTATCACCCATACAGCAAAAGAAGATTATCTAGCGGAGAAACAGGTTCAGTTCATGACTCTGCCTCAAAACTCAAGAACTGAGGCTTTCAACCTCCCTCAAAATGCTGTTTCAATTTTCAAAGTTGAACAATATAGAGGGGGAGGGATATGACATTAACTATCTCCAGTCTACAATATAGTCCTTTCAGCAGTTCCAAGAAGGTTCCACACCCATTTGCACCACTCAGGTGACCTTGAGGGTACAGATAAACCCCCAAGTGATAAACCCCCAAGTGGCCTCAATGACTCTCTAAAAGAATGCAAATGACCAGCTATCTGCAAGGTATATAAATCCTTCCATTCCCCTCTATCCAGTCAGAGCTGAAGCAGCTTCTTGGATGAGAAGCGAAACGTCTTCAAAGAAAAACAAGAAAGTCCAGTTGCCTCTTGAAAAAGCACCTTTGAAATAACCATGACCTGGATGACTGAGAATCTCCATAGACATGCAGGATGTGCTTTTAAGATGAATAGCCATACAAATGTTTTAAATAAATAATAAATGAACTGAAGCAGACGCCCGAATGTTTACCTATCAATGCACTGGGCAGCCAAGCAAGCTGTGGTCAGGATTTCCTTGATGTGGGTCAGCCAGTTTGAAGCCTCTAACTTACTTAGCCAGCGATCCATATTATGAGACTGGTCATTACAGGCCTCCACAAGCTTGATAAGACTCTCTTGCAGAATATTGTATCTATAGGCACATTGGGAAGAAAGGGAGACAAACATGAAAACAACCTTACATCCATGATGCACACTTTTACTATCAAAATGGGAACACCTTTTGTATTTCCTATATTCAAGTGTTCAATTTTGAGAAATAGACGTAGGACTCTAAATACCATACAATTCCAATATTAGAACTTTTACCAACTATGAGCCAAGCCTCATGTCCTGCTAAATGTTTGAAGAGGTTTCAGCAGCAGCCAAAAAAGCTAGTACAATCCTTGGTTATATAAACAGAGGCATAGAATCAAAATCATGTGATGTATTAGTACCGCTTTATAAAGCCTTAGTAAGGCCAAACCTGAAATATTGCATTCAGTTTTGGTCACCACACTACAAAAAAAGATGTTGAGATTTTGAAAAAAGTGAAAAGAAAAGCAACTAAGATGATTAAAGGCCTGGAGATTAAAACATATGAAGAACGGCTGCAGGACTTGGGTTTGGCTAGTCTAAAGAAAAGAAGAAATAGGGGAGACATGATCGCAGTATTCTAGTAGTTGAGAGGTTGCCACAAAGAGGAGGGGGTCAACTTATTTTCCAAAGCACTAGAGGGCAGGACAAAAAACAATGGATGGAAACTAAACAAGGAGAGAAGCAACCTAGAATTAAGGAGAAACTTCCTAACAGTGAAAACAATTAAACCAGTGGAACAGTTTGCCATTAGAAGTTGTGGGTGCTTCATCACTGGAGGTTTTTAAGAAGAGACTGGACAGTCACTTGTCTGAAATGATATAGGACAGTGATGGCGAACCTTTTAGAGACCGAGTGCCCAAACTGCAACCCAGAACCCACTTATGTATCATTGGCTGCTGGGTGGGCGTGGCTGCAGTGGTAACGGCAGACTGGGTGGGACTAAAAAGTTCAATCAATCAATTTCAACTTTGCGAGATCTTTTTTTTTCCAGCGAGAAGTTGAAATTAGTTGATCGATTGAACCTTCTTTTTTTTTGCACACGGTGGCAGAGGCCTAAAGCGAAAAGATTTTATAAAACCCAGCTGAAGACCTAGGACTGGGGCCTAGGACTCTCTCAATCAGAGAGCTCAGCTGGCTCAGGAATTCTGGGAATTGAAGTCCACGAGTCATAAAAGAGCCAAGGTTGACTACCCCTGGTCTAAGAACCTGGACACAAGAAAGTTCAAAAGTAATATTGTCTTGCAGAGATAGATCATAGTGAACATGCATTCCCACCGACCCATTGCCATGTTTGCAAGTCCTGAAACCTCTGCAAATACCCAACTGAATTTCTACAATGAAACCCAACAATTCTGTAGTGTAGTTTTTGGATTTTTTTTTTTAAGGAAAAGGCATTAAGCTTCCATTGGACTGTTACACACATTTCCTTCAAACAACACAAAAACAATACACCCTTCATTCTACAACCATCAATTTTCTTAATAAATAACTACATTAAATAAAAACATAAAAATATGAGCATCTTCTGCCCCAACACCTATATATAATCAATGTGCTGCTTGCAGCATTTGGGGAACTGCTTCAAAAAAGGTCTTATCTGTTTAAACAAACCTAGAGCTACTGTTTAAGAAAATACAAAGGTTTCTTATATTAAACTCTGGTGCCTAACCTGGTACTGTTTATTTGTATGAGCAATTGGTTCATCTGTGTATCTCAAATCTCCTAAATCCCATGTTCTAAACTAAAAAAAAAAAAAAAGCTTCTAAATTAAATTAAAATTCTTGAAAGCAAGTCTTTCTCATACAGAAACTCACCGCTCAATGGATTTGTGAATTCTTCTCCACTGAGGATAATGAACCTCCTGTTCAAAGCCTCCACCTTTGGCCCGGGCTTGCTGAGCGACATTCAGAGATCGTGTGTCAATGATATATCCACGCTTGCCTGCCCTCAGGGTGGCATTGATCAGCTTCTCATCCTCTTTACAACGCTTCCCATTAGTACCTGTAAGTGGTTGGCTACTGCGCATTATCACCTAAAAGAATCAACAAACTGTAGTAAGAATGTGTACCCAGATAAGTCTTCTGTAGTATAAAAGCCAATGTAGCGTTAAAGGTATTCTGTGATTCCATGGGGGAAAAATGTTCACCATTCTGGAATAACTGATTGTCACCCTCCCAGGTAAATCAGATAGGAAAAACAAGATGACCTGATTCTGTTTTATTGAAGGCTGCATTAAAAGAATCTTGCAAATCTGAAGGCCTCTACTTTTAACTGTTTTAACCATTAAAGTGGGTCCTTCTTAAGTTCCCTTCTCTGACTGCTAAGTGACTGTGGGCTCCTGTTTCTCTTTGTCTGATTGTTTCCTAGACAACATCTCTTCCCCTTTTTCCTCAAAGTCATTCATGCATTCTATTATACTGACAGAGTAAAAAGGGTTTGTACATTTCACCTGATAATTCAATTTTTCACTACTAATGTGAAAACACATTTTCCTTAATAAAAGTTGAATGAAATTTGGTACATATATATCCAGGATATAATTCTATGCTTCAAGTGAGAACAATTTTATGTTGATTTTCAAAGAGATGAGAGGAAAAAAAGAAATACAGAAGTGATAGTAAATTTTCTGCAAATATTAAGACAGCAGAATGAAAATTAGCATTTATGTGTAAGTTCGAAGCCTATTTCCATCCCATTTCGCTTTCTTCAGAAGTATGTAAGTTTGATATGCCAATAATTCTTATTGGAATACAGCTGATAGACAACCTCTAGGAACACACAATAGGAAAGTAATGACTGTAAAGGTCGAACATATCTTCTCATGAAGAGGCAGCAGTTTGTGAAGCGTTATGCTTTTCTATAGGAATGCATCCACAGTACTCTTCAGATAACTTTAACATATCCTTCTCAAAAAGGCATGTTCCTTTCAAATTTATGGTTATGGTACGAAAAGAGAATGATGCTTGTTCAGCTTCCAACAAGCTATTGAATGTGCAGCCTCACTTTTTATTAATATTAAACAATCAGAAAGATTTAAAATAAAAGTGCAAGAACCAATTATAACCTATTGTAAAAAGAATTTCTACATCTTTGGAATTATTTATACCGCTAGGAGCATTTAGTTAATGTAACCACTAAAGTCTCAGGCTGCTAATTGATTCTTCCTAATCATATATCAACCTATTCAGATAATCTTCTCTTCCTGCTACCCCTAAATTCTCAAGCTTCCAGTACAACAATTTCAATTATGGCATTTAAGTACTGCAACATACATACATTTTTAATATGTAGTTATTACAAAGAAAACACATGCCTTGTAATCCAAGTGTCCAACTCACCATCCCATTTTTCTTGTGATAATAGCTGAGTACTGGGAAGCGTCCACCATGGCGAAAAGTGGCAACCTTCCATAAAGATTCATCATCAATTGATTTAGGGACAGTGACAACAGGTGGGTAAGAAGGGCAGACTGAGAAATCTTTGTTGATGTAACTCAACCGCCATTCATTTGTCTAGGAAAGAATACTATGTATGTAAGAATCCACCAAAATCAGTCTGACCTACTTTCTCTTTTTTTCTCATCATAAATTAATTTGGCTTTGGAATCACTTTGCAATTTTACAAAATAAATCTTTACATAAACATCCATTGCCTAAGTGTATATTTAATTTAACCCATTCAAAGTCTTGGAGATATCCTAACTTTAGAACTACATGGGAAATTCAGAAAGCTGAGGATATTTATTAATTTGATTTTTATGTTGCCCAACTCTAACCAACCTTTAGATACATCAACAGTCAACCTAATCATTTTAATCCTAGTATGGGAACAATCGAGGAAACTTCTGAGATTCTTGAATGGGAGTTATATGTATCTGGGGGGAAAGGATGCTATTCCAGAAGGCAAGAGCTGCAACAGAGAAGACATGCTTCCTTGGTTCCACAAGATGGCAGCATTTAATAGAAGGGACTTGGAGGACACCCATTCTGCCTGAATGTACCAGTAGGTCAGAAACAATTGGATGGAGGTCGTCCTTCAGATTATGAGGCCCTTTGCCACATAGGACTTTAAAGGAGATGTCTAGCACCTTAAAGATACACCTGGAAGCTGAGTGGCAACCAATGCAACATCTGAGCTGTGTTTAAAGCCATCCAAAACTTCCACCATTTCCTTTTCATTCTAAACTGGGGTAACAAAATACAATTGTCATGTTCACATTAAGGGTGATGACCAATCCATTAATTTATTTTGGCACAACACGATGGCCTGATCCCCAGGACATTTAATGTGAGGTACATGTCATAGCAGCAGTGCAAACCTAAAGACCAGAACTACTGTCTGTAATGCTATTACTGCTATTTAAAATGTCTGATAGAAGAAAGGTTCTCATTCCATACCAAATGTCCCTCAGTAATATGATCCAGTTGACATTTCTCTAGAAGCCTCTTTCCTTCTCCCACCCAAGTTAATATTGTTTTATTTATTTTCTTTTATAAAACACAAGTACAACATTGTATATCTGGGTAACGACTAAACACTCTGATGATATAGATAACTTAAGCTTTTAAGGATTAAAAAAGGTTATGTCAATATTAACTATAATTTCTGAAATGTTAATGTTGATAAGTTGTTTAAATGTTAAATCTGCACCTGAGTGTAGCATTGATAACAACTGCAAAATGCTTAAATTATAATTTATAGAATAAAGGTATCTATTTTGAGTTTAATACTTAATATTAAGGTCTTCACTGTATTGTTACTTGTTGTTTATGTGTATTAGAAAAAAGACTTCTATTCTGATAGGTCTTAGAGAACCAAGTTCTTCCTTTGTGGTTTCCAATTGAGCCCAGAGAATCTACAGAACCAGAACCATGGGGACCTTCCTTCAGAAACCATCGCTGCATACCATCATACAGGATAATTTTGCTCCAGCATTTAACTTCCCCTTCTGGGAAAAGTGGTTGAGAAGATGGTTGCACAACAATTTCAAAGGCCTTTGGATGAAGCGGATCGTCTGGATCCCTTTAAGTCAGGATTCAGACTTGGGTATGGGGTGGAAACAGCATTGGTAACTCCTTTGGATGATCTCTGGCATGTGTGGGATGGAGGTTGGGCATCCATCTTTGCTCTACTTGATGGCTTTCAATATCATCAACCTCTCAGTGGCTTTCAATACATAGACCATGTGTATTCTTCTGGATTGGATTGGGATGGACTGCAGGGTATTGTGCTGGTTCACCTTCTTTCTCCACATTGGTTCCTCCCACTTTTGGCCCCTACTATGGGAGATGACATAGGCTACAGTGCTTTCCCCTCTCCTATTTAACATCTACATGAGGCTGCTGGATGAGCTCATCCATTGCCATACTGTGGGAGATCATCAATATGCTGATTATGCCCAATTATACATCTCTGCCCCTGGAGAATTAAGCAATGCTGTGAACATCTTATCATGGTGCCTGGAGGCTGTGAGGATCTGGATGGGAGAACAGGCTTCAGCTGAACCTTGCCAAAACTGAGTGGATTTGGGTTTTGGGGCCTACTGGTTCTAAGATTATGCCATCTTTGGTTCTGAATGGGGTGTCACCACCCTATACAGATCTGGTATGCAATCTGGGGAACCTCCTAGATTCGTAAGTCCTGCTTTAAAATCAGGTGATTGCTGTGATTAGGAAAGCCTACATACTGCTTCATGATGTGTGCCAGTTGCGTCCTTTCCTGGATTGCCAGGTTCTGTTCATGATCATTCATACCCTTATCACTTCCAGACTGGACTGCTATTATGCTGTCCTTGAAGAATATCCGGAAGCTCCAACTGGTTCAGAATGCAATGGCACAGGCAATTATTTGTGCTCCCAAAATAATGCATATTGTACCTCTGCTCTGTGAACTGCATTAGCTGCCAGTCTGTTTCCAGGTCCAATTTAAGATGCTTGTTTTAACCTTTAAAGCCTTTCTAACATGGGTCTACGTTATCTGGGGGACCACCATTCCGCAATTACATCAGCCTATCCCATTAGATTTGGCAGAAGTATGCTGCAGGTATCATAATCTAAAGACCTATATTTGGTGGGTCCTGGGAGATGGGCCTTGTCTGCTTTAGCACACTCTCTATGGAACATTCTTCCTCCAAAAGTCAGATTAGCCCCACCCATTATCATGCCAGAAGTCCCTCAAGACCTGATGATGTCTCCAGCCCTTGAGGTCTAAGGGAACTGGAGACATTCTTGCATGGCTCCATTGTGGTTGCTCTTTATATTTTAATTTTTATACTGCTTTTTATTTCTAACAATGACTTTATAATTTTTATAATGATTGTTTTTATACACTGGTTGTTTTTATTGTTATACATCACCAAGAGTCGCTTCTGTAAGATGGGTAGGAGTAAAAATGTGATTAAAAAATAAAAATAAAAACTTACTATTGAATTGAGAAGTTCAAATTCACTTTCAGGCAAGAATGAATGCCAGCCATCTTCAATTACTTCAAACATGGGTCGATAAAAGAAAGGATACATGAGTGTAATGGAATCCAAGGTAGACAGTGCCTACAGGAAGGGGAAAATGCACAGTATTACAATGTGCTAGTTGTCCATATAATACAGGACTTTTCAGAGATTGTATCACTTTTAGAATGTGGCAATATTCAAGTACCACCAGTCACCTAGCAGGTGGGCATGGCCTGCTCGACGCCATTCACTGGACACAGTTGACTTGAGAGAGCTGGGCCAGAACAGAACAAGTCACACTGACTAACTCGATGGGGAGACAACTCGATGCCCCACAAACTCCTTGCCTCCCCAACTGCTAGCAGCCAAGTGCATGCGTCCACACACACACACACACACACACACCACATTCCAGGTTTGGGGACTTTTATCCAGAGGAAGGAGAGCCTTCTCCCCAAGCCCAGGCATGATTGGCAATTTGCTAGCTCAGATGTGGATACTAGTCTCCAAGCTTGAAATGTTTGTATGTTTGTGTTTGTCTCTCTCTCTGTGTGTGTGTGTGTGTGTGTGTGTGTGTACATATAGCACGCTAAAGAAATGTTCTTTTCCCAAACTCAGACATTGTTGGTGTTTCCCTGTCCGGTGCCCGTCCTGGCAAAGCAGGAGGTGCAGGATGTTTGCAGGAAGCAGTTTCCTCTGAGTCCAACTTCTATCTTGACAGATCTCTGGAGAGTAAGAGGAAGCGGCAGGGGAGCAGCGCTCCCGGGTCCTGCACAAGGGAGGCTGGCCCTTCTCGAAAGAGAATTCCCATTTCCAATTGTGCCTGGTAACGATGCTGGCTTGTTGGGGCAGCCTTCCCTCACACAGCTCCCCTGCCACCCCTCCCTCCTCTCCAGAGATCTGCAGGGGAGACAGAGATCTGGAGGGCAAGGTGCAGCCTCCATATTGGCCACTTCTACCTCTCCAGGCCCTCCTCAATTAAACATACATTATATATAAATTAAAACACAGCTAAGAAGAAAACATAGTTAAATCACTAATTACAGCTCTTCACATATTTTCTGGAAAAACCACTTTTATTGATGTTAAGAAGGAAGAGCAAACCTTATTAAGGAACTCTTAACAGGAAGGGTATTGAAGTCCCCAAAATGTCTTGTTCTTTCTAATCTGCCTTCCCTTTGAGCTTTAGTTCTCATTATTTTATTATTATGTATTTAAGAAGAAGATCAAAGGCCTTCATAGCTCAGGATACTCACCTTAAAATCAGAACCCTGAAAAATTGAGTTAATCCACAATACCGCCTTATGAAGAATGAAGATAATCTTTGGGCCCTGAGAGCATGCAGGTGTCCAGTCAGAATATTAGTGGCACACCTGTCAGCAACTGGAAGTGCATAAGTCCATGTACTTCCCTTCCCTGTCTCACAACTCAATCCATACATCCTTTAATTTTCAGACACTTTCCCCCCCTCATAAGCTCCTTAAAAAACCCACAAGGTATTGTGTAATTAGCAGGAAAAATAAATCTAACACTCCTGAATTCTTTCCCCAGGGGGGAAAGGAAAGTTCACAGCCTGCAGGTTGATAGCAAAGTCATCAAACAATGTAGTTATTGCTGCTAAAGGCAAGAATAAATAACAAATCAATTTTGCAGCTCTCTCCTGATACTGCATCCTCTTACATCCAGAATGTAGCCTGGGATTGCACAAGGAGCTAGGCTAAAATCGGGTTGAGTAGTTTGCAGTCAGGTGTTCAGTACAGACCTTGCCAATGTGATTTTAATAGCCCAGGAAGGGATAGCAGGCAAGAGCACCGGGTGAGCCGCACTTTGCAGGACGAAGCTGGCGGATCTATGCCAGCAGGCCCGTTGGCATCAGGACAGATCCAAAGAAGGTAGCTGCAACGGACGGGGGGGGGGGGAAGCAAAAGGTTTCCAGCAGGTGCCACCAGGCCTGCAAACGCGGCGCTGCTCCTCTGCTTTCCAGCCCCGAAATTGCAGAGTAAAGTTGGGCAGCCTTTGAGCGCTGCTGACAAGCTGCAGATTTGCTGTAGTCTTGGCTGCCGCCCCCATCCTTGGCAGGGCAAGGTTGCAGCGCGTGGCCTTTAGTCGGGGCTGCAAGTCCCGCCCCAGCTATGGCGAAGAGCGACTGCGTCTGTGCCCAGAGGGCGAGAAGGAACCAGAGGGGCGCGGTGGCTGGGCTGCCTTCTGGCCCGTTGAATTCAGGTTTTCCTTTGCGAGCTGGAGTGGGCCGGCACCTCACTGTCTCCAGGGAGGCCCTGGGCCAAATGTACACACCCCGTAGGCATGTCTATCCCCTCCTTCTCCTTTTGTCTTTGGTGTAGCTGCAACTGACTCCTTTCTTAAGGCTGCGTGTAGCTTCTGGAAGCGCCAGTCAGCTGGAGCCCGGTGCGGATCCTGGGCACTCAGCAGAGCCCCAGCAACCCCGTGGCTACAGCTGGCTCTCCCATAGGTCTGTGCTGCTCATCTCCACACTACAGTTTTACACTTTTTTTTACACATTTTTATTTACAGTGCTTTTCAACCCATCATAAACGTACCACCTGCCAGGTGCCGATGTACCACCAGTGGTACGTGTACTACCGGTTGAAAAGCCCTGGTATAATAGGCTGCCTTTAGGTACCCTGAAGAATAGATCTGGAGAGTAATGAGTGGGGAGTACAATGCCAGTTCCTTTCCTGGACTAGCCTGTCGCTCAAAGCTATTGCTTCATTTTGCCTAACAGCATGATGGGCTTCCCTTTCCTTAATGACACAACATAATAAGCAGAAAAACAGGAGCATTTCTAATTTAATATCACAACAAATAAATGACCAGAAAATTAAAAAAAGAGAGATCATGTAAAACTGATAACTGAAAATAAACTAATGGAAAGAAATTTAGAGATGGAGACTCAAGTGGAGAACTTACAAAAAATACTGGATAAGAAAAAGAAAACTTGGACTCTAAGACCACAAAATAAATTTGAGAATAAGAAAACAGATTTGATAAGATGGACTACAGAGTTGTTGGGAGTACTACAAGAAATGGAGAGACAATAGAACACAAGAGAAATAGAAATAGAAGAAATAGATCTTCAATGAATATGAAGGGACAACATCTTTGTACAAAGACATGATGTTTGATTCCCTTTTAATATTTACAACACTTACAAGATTATGGAAAGACTTTTTGACTCAATGGATTATATTGATTAGGAAAGAGGTTCTACGAAAGGAGAGGGCTAAATTAGATGATGGGATGCATCAGAGGGAATATTTAAAAATTAAATATTTGTTCGAATACGGTTGAAGAAATAGAAAGATTTTAATCTAAGAGGGATGAACTCCCTAAGCAAGACAATATTATTTCTCTTCTTTTTCTTTTAGTTTATTTTAAAATATGAACAATATAAACATGTTTGGGATGGTTATTATAAAGGAAATGTTTTAGATATCTAAATGTAATTGATCTTAAGAAAATTCTATAGATAACTAAAAAAATGTTTTGAAATAGACTTAAAAGATTTGATGATTAGATTTATTAAATGGAACATCTAAAGACTCAACGTAGGTTTAATTATGGATAAAAAGAACAGAAGAAAAAAAATGGGAATAAACTTATATTAGTTTAAGAGAGATATGTATTTTAAGTAGTATATTATATTTCATATTCTTTTTTTTCTTTCTTCTCTTTTTTATTTTTCTTTTGTCTCTTTTTTTACTTACTTTGTAAGATATGAATATAAATTTAAATAGATTTAAATACTTAAATGTAATTAACTTTGAGAAAATGTTAACCAGTAAAAATGTTATGCACGTTGTAAGGGAAACAAATTTAAATAAGAACTGCAAACAGGATTTATGATGAGGCAACCAAGATGATTAGATAGAAAAGCATAACACTGATGTGATTATTATTGGTAAATTTTAGAAAAATCTTTATATTTAAATTGTTACCTATTAAATTAATAAGAATTGTATTGATTTAAGGTTGGCAAAGAGAATATTATTTGAAGAAGAGAAAATCAAGTAAAGCTACTATCTGGACTTTGGAATACTAAAAACTGACTATTAGTGATTACTTTGTAAATGTATGCCCAGACAACATGCTGTTTACCAAATATTAAGGTGTTTATGTTAAAAAACCAATAAAATATTAAAAAAGAAAAAAAGAAAAACATGAGCTGTTTTTCTCTATTTAACCAAATACTGCTATAGTTTCTGCAACAAAAAGTGTTTATGAACCTCTGTCTGATAAAGCACAAGCATACTGAAAAGACACACAGCAAAGTACAGTAAAAAGGCAGGTGCAGCTTGTACAGCCCACTGAAATGCCAATAAATAGACATGAATGGTATCACAAATACTAACAGAGTTACTTTTTTAATTACAAGTTTGTTTTATCAGTCAAGCTTATCTTGCTTTATGGAATATACATCATTTGACGACTTCTGGTAGCTTTTCCCAGAGCAGCTTTTCTAAATTTCTATAGAGGTCTAACTTAGATTGAGGTCTAATTTAAGCAAAAATCCTTAAGATTGACTACATATGCAGATATGAAATGTGTGACCCTACATACATAAGACAACAAGGAGATTCTTCACCAGGATTTATTTCCTCTCTACATAACTTAGGGGTTTTGTTATCAATGTTCAGATGCCTCCTTCAAAAAGCTTCCCATTCTAAAAATATCCTAATGCAGTGCTTCTCAACTGTGGCAACTTTAAGATATCTGGACTTCAACTCCCAGAATTCACCAGCCAGCTAATTGAAGTCCACATATCTTAAAGTTGCCAGGGTTGAGAAACCTTGTCCTAATGCATCTAAGAAGGAGATACCATCCCAGCACCATCTTTCACATGAATCTCTGCAGAACAGAACCAGAGTTTTGCCAAGTTCTTCTAATTTCTCTAAATTACTTTACCTCAATAGAACTAGCAATGTTCAAAGATTCCTCCATGCCAGAAATGTCAAGCTGGATAATTCGCAGGTCTTTGCATTTGATAATGATGGTGCCCAAGAAGCCGATAAAACTGCAATGATATAAAACATGAGTATTGAAGAGTGAAGAATATAATTTTTCAACTGTAGACACCTACATGGCCTTCACAATGAACAAAAGTTTTAAAGCCTATCCTATTTCAGCCATTAAAACATTCTAGCACTGTTAGTTGAAAACCCTTAATAGAAGAATATACCAATGAACTGGAGAACTGCAGGTTATTTTAGCAAATTAAAATTTACAAACCTATAGCGATCAAATTAAAAAGAACATAAGGATGGGATGTAATTTTAAAGAAAGACTGGCAGGTGAGAAGGAAATGGTGTTAACCATTCTATATTTGCTTAAATGCATCCAGAAATATTTCTACTCCAATGTTTCTACTTCACTCTCTTTGAGTCTCATAGATTGTAACTGGAAAGAAAATAATTCAGAAACTGCATTGAAGATTTCTTTCTAAGGATTTAGAACTAATGAAATAAAGTGAGGATTAACAAACATGAAATACTGCAGACAACTTCAAGCTTTAACAATGTTTGGGACTCTTTCTGGCTCTTCATAATACTAAAATGTTTACTGTAGTATAAATGAAATTCTCCTCAGCTATTCTGAAAACATATCATTCTACAAAAGGTCTGGACTTCATGTTAGCTGAGATTGTTGAGAGTTGATCAACAGTAAAGGACAGTGGATCACAACATTTCCTGAGGGAACCACCACCAACTATTATGTAGAATCAAACATGCAGGATCAGACAGAATAGGTTTTCATGGTGAGATAATGCTAAATTAGCCAGGACCAGTGGATTAGCATCAGCAGATGTTCAGCTATAAATCTGAGAATTATATTATGTGCTGTCACACACCAACAGTTATTTTCTTTCTCAAATGCAAAATTTTCAAAACTTTCTCAGAATGCTACAGAAATACACCACCCCCTCAGCTTCTCAAAAGGGAATGCATCGCCTTTCTTCGCCCATGTAACAAAGGCAAGTTATGAGGATATAGCTGTAGTACCGGCAGGATTGCTTTTCCCTCTTGCTCCTTGACATGTGAACCTTTTGCTATTATTTACTGAATGGGCATCTAGCACCCACTCAGAGGCAACATTATTTTTATAGCCATTATTGAGCCTGGTTCAAAAATCTTGTAATAGTGCAACTACAAAGGCCACACTGGATCTGCAGAAGACTTAGATTTTGATTCCCACATGTCAATGAAGCAAATTGTGAGATCCAAAACTACACAAATTGCTTCAAGCCTACCTCACTGGAGTGTTGCTCCAAACTCAGAGACATGGGAGAGACATATTAAAAGACTTCATATAATCTAATTTCCAGATGAGCAATTTCTTTATGCTAGTAAATAATTCCAGTAATGTTGTTGGAATCCCAAGGCCAATCCTGGGAGGATCAGGAGGAATTCATCTAAGCCGATATTTTTCTTTCTTAGACATGGTCAAATAAGGAGAGGAGGGTTGAAAAATGGTATTTTTTTTACTATACTATAGCAGCTATGATTGAAGTTTCTTTTAGCTCTTTTTCATTTTAATCTTTGCAAGGAAATAATTAATTACAACCAAGGTGCTAAGCTACTTTAAAAAACCCAATATGAATGATGAAGAAAGTAGAAAAAAACTATCATTTTTCCTTCTGAAATAAAATTGTTGGATAGAGCAGTAGAATGGGGGAAATAGACACTGCTTTTCTTCACAATCTAGGAGGAAAGAAAACAAGAAGAAAAATTTAAATGAATCTCCTGCATTTCTCTGTATGAGAATACTGTAAACCAGTTTTATTAAAAAACGGAATGTACTCCAGCTTAGTTCAGATACCGTGAGGGAAAAAATTATTTAATCCCTGCTGATTTGTATGTTTGCCCACTGACGAAGAAATGATCAGTCTATAATTTTAATGGTAGGTTTAACAGTGAGAGACAGAATAACAAAAAAATCCAGAAAAATGCATTTCAAAAAAGTTATAAATTGATTTGCATTTTAATGAGTGAAATAAATATTTGACCCCTTCGTAAAATATGATTTAGTACTTGGTGGCAAAACCCTTTGTTGGCAATCACAGAGGTCAGACATTTCTTGTAGTTGGCCACCAGGTTTGCACACATCTCAGGAGGGATTTTTGTCCCACTCCTCTTTGCAGATCCTCTCCAAGTCATTAAGGTTCGAGGCTGACGTTTGGCAGCTCAAATCTTCAGTTCCCTCCACAGATTTTCTATGGGATTAAGGTCTGGAGACTGGCTAGACCACTCTAGAACCTTAATGTGCTTCTTCTTGAGCTATTCCTTTGTTGCTTTGGCCGTGTGTTTTGGGGTCATTGCCATGCTGGAATACCCATTCACGACCCATTTTCAATGCCCTGGCTGAGGGAAGGAGGTTCTCACCCAAGATTTGACGGTACATGGCCCCGTACATCGTCCCTTTGATGTGGTGAAGTTGTCCTGTCCCCTTAGTAGAAAAACACACCCAAAGCATAATGTTTCCACCTCCATGTTTGACGGTGGGGATAGTGTTCTTGGGGTCATAGGCAGCATTCCTCCTCCTCCAAACACAGCGAGATGAGTTGATGCCAAAGAGCTCGATTTTGGTCTCATCTGACCACAACACTTTTACCCAGTTTTCCTCTGAATCATTCAGATGTTCATTGGCAAACTTCAGATGGGCCTGTACATGTGCTTTCTTGAGCATGGGAACCTTGCAGGCACTGCAGGATTTCAGTCCTTCACAGCATAGTGTGTTATCAATTGTTTTCTTGGTGACTATGGTCCCAGCTGCCTTGAGATCATTGATAAGATCCTCCGGTGTAGGTCTGGGCTGATTCCTCACCATTCTCATGATCACTGAAACTCCACAAGATGAGATCTTGCATGGAGCCCAGACTGAGGGAGATTGACAGTTATTTTGTGTTTCTTCCATGTACAAATAATCGCACCAACTGTTGTCACCTTCTCACCAAGCTACTTGGCAATAGTCTTGTAGCCCATTCCAGCCTTGTGTGGATCAACAGTCTTGTCCCTGACATCCTTGGACAGCTCTTTGGTCTTGGCCATGGTGAAGAGTTTGGAATCTGATTGATTGATTGCTTCTGTGGACAGTGTCTTTTATATAGGTAACAAGCTGAGATGAGGAGCACTCCCTTTAAGAGAGTGCGTCTAATCTCAGCTCGTTACCTGTATAAAAGACACTTGGGTGCCAGAAATCTTGCTGATTGATAGGGAATCAAATACTTATTTCACTCATTAAAATGCAAATCAATTTATAACTTTTTTGAAATGCATTTTTCTGGATGTTTTTGTTGTTATTCTGTCTCTTACTGTTAAAATAAACTTACCATTAAAATTATAGACTGATCATTTCTTTGTCAGTGGACAAATGTACAAAAATCAGCAGGAGATCAAATAATTTTTCCCTCACTATAGTCACCCAACACAGAGACACACAGATGTCAGTTCATTTCCCCCATAACTGACTATAATGTTCAAACTGGGCAATGCTAATCAGAATGTCTTCCAAACTATCATTCAAAAGTGTGTCATAATTAATTTTAGAGTTAACCCTAATAACAGCTATTCTGATCTAGATGCCACAACAAACTGTGGCTAAAGTAATCAGGAGATAAACTGCATATGAATGAGACTAGAGTACAAATCACGTTCCCAATTCTTCTAGGTTATAGTATAATGTGACAACTTTACTTGGCTGCTGTATGCCTACAGTGACAAGAGATCTCAGAAAGAAACACTTTTTGTCAAGTAGAGATGTGGGTGACAGCCTTCCTCTGTTGCGGCACACTGTCATTGGACTGCTGTTCTCCTGAAATCAGGCTGGTGCCAACACAGTCGGCCATTCTGCATCAGATAAATATATTTTAAAAGAGCAATAAAACCCCCAGGTGGGCACCCAACAATATGATAGAGCAACAATGGTTTGTTCAGGCTTAAATATGTTTTATTGAGATCTTTTTATAGGAATAAAAATGCAGGGGGTTATTTTTCTCATTTCTAAAGAAATACTCATTCACAAATATTTCAAGGTTGTTCTTCATCAGGACAACCTATCCTCATGAAAATGACTGGTTAATTACATTACCTTTTCATTGAGTCTGAATAATACAAAACATATCCATGAATTGTAACAACCCACTGGCGCTACTATACAGGGAGAAGCTTTACTGATGTTATTCTAAGAGTTATTCATGTTCAAGTAAATTATAAAATATCAGGGCAGCAAGAAAAAAAGCAAGAGAGGACAAAGCAGGTTAATTGTCCCATTTTTAGCTTGAATATAGCTCCAAATTGCTTGTCTTTTAATGTTGAAGACAGCAATACAGTAGACCTCAACTTAAAACTGGTTGCCTAGCAACTGAAGTTATGATGGACAGCCCCCCCAAAAAGCTACTTACAACCCGATTTCAAAATTATGACAGCTGCACTCCTCTGCAGTCACATGATCACATTTCAGGTGCTTGGCAACCAGCTCGCCTTTATGGCTGTTTGCAGCATCCCGCAGTCACGTAACCACAATGGTTGATTTTTTTTTGCTAATTTCCAGGGTTTACTTCTGATTTCCAGCAAAAAACAGCCATTAGGTAAAATAGATACACTTAATGACCTTAACATTCACTTAATGATAGCTGCAAAAATGTCATAAAACTGGGTCTGATCACATGGTGATCCGCCTAACAACCAGGATGTACAACTGAAATTTCCAGTTCAATTACAGTCGTAAGTCAAGAACCGTCTATATGGTGTGAAAAATTGGCCACAAGAATAAAATAAAGGTTCTGTGGGTTATATCTCTCTAAAAGCCCTTTAAAATAAAAGCAGTTTTGAAAACTCATTATCCTTGATTCCTTGGAGCTGGAAAAAGTAAAGCTCTCAAGTCTAAATAACTAGACTTCAATGCTTTTCCCAAAATAAGATGCATTTTACCATTTAATCTAACAAGAAAAAATAAACATTTATTTATAATTATCTAAAACAGATTTCCCTGATGTTGTCCTCTGCAGATGTGTAGGTCCACCATACATGTCATCCCACCATCAACACCCCCCCCCCCCAATAAATAGGGAAATGGCAACATAATGCAACTGAGATGGCTTAATAAAAGATTTGGGTGCATTCGTGGAAGATGATTAATTTAAGGTAGATCAGTGTTTTCAAAACTGGCAACTATAAGATCTGTGGACTTCAACTCCCAGAATTCCCAGAACATCTTAAAGTTGCCAATTTTGAAAAAACACTGATTTACATCATTTATGGAAACTGATTGATGACAGCTGAATAATACTCGATATTCAGAGATAGTATATCTCTGGAAAAGAAATATTAAGCTACCTTGTTTAATGTTTTCAGAGAGGATCAATCCAGATATTCAAACAGGAGACTAAGTCCTCAACAGCTATTTAATGGATGGTCTGAAATCAAAGGATGAAGCCTTTTCTGACACAAAAAGGCAAAGTATAGGAAAAGCTTCTACTAATGATTTTTCAGTTAAGCAGCTTCTACTTAGTGCATGTATTTACTAAAGCTTCAGCTGACAAGCTTCACTAATATCCCCTCTTATTTTTCCATAAGGAGGAATACCTTTTTAAGAAAATGCCTTCTAAATCAGCCATCATTTGAAAATAAAGTGTTTCAGGATTTTTCTTTCGGCAATATGCAAATTTAACTTCATTTAAAATTCCCATAAGAGTAGATATTTTAAATGTTTAAGAATAGAAAGTATATTTTAGGTGAATTTTATGTAATAATTCATTTTAAACATTCATATCTTCCCCATCAACTTTGAAAAAGCATTCAAATATAAGTCCAAGCCAATGGAAAAATAATGCAACAGAATGCATTTAGCCTTCAAATAGCAATAAACTAAGAAGCAGCAAGATCATAAATTACTATAAATTTATTTTATGCCACTTATATTCCATCTTTCTATTCTGATAGGAACTCAAAGCAGTAAAGGTAAGAAAAGCAATAAAAAATGCCTGAATCAATGGGGAGCAAAACTCTGGTCCTGAAAAGGCTGTAGTATCAGTACTAGTTAAGCCTCCAGGAAGAGACTATTTCAGAATCAGACTACCAATATAGTACAGAATAAATTTCTTCCCATCCTTGGTATGAAATGTTCCACATCAACTGACAGTACTTAAGAAAGACTTCAAGTGAAGATATGATACATTAATAAATAAAATTCATATTAATGGAACATATATAGCCACCCATCTCATATAATGGTACCAGGAGGCTCACAACAAGCAATAAAAGCATGGATAAAAACAAACCCACCTTTCCCCTCACAGCCCACATGAGGGAATGGTATGGGAAGATGTATCTTCACATATATGGTCCCAATAGGGTAAGGGCCTATGCTCAACATCCTGGAAGCCGATAAGGGAATTATACAGGTTGCTTAATAACTGGAGTGCTATACTACTACATAGCTGTAACTAAGCTTATTTGGAAAACAGCTATGCAAATCAGCTAAAAACAGTATAGACACTTCATTTTAATAATGGACAATGATGGCACTCCTATCTAGCTAGGATTCAATTCTATTTACTATCTTTAATCCAGGCCATTCCTGCATCCAGCACCTGCAAAGTTTTACCATGGGGAGATGGGTTTTTTTGGACTACACCACTGCTCTTCTCCCCCCCCTTCATGAACTAAAATATCCTCACCGTTTTTCAATTGAATCAATGTTGGAATGCAAAAGCCAAAGCTCCTCAACATTATCCTGCCGTCGCGAGGAGAAGATGAGGTGGTGTCCCGTTAAGCACAGGGTTCCCTCCACTGCTGGATAGAAAGGGCGGTGAAGAACTACATTGTCAGCCCGAGGTGTCTTGATAAGCTCAGCAAACTCCATAGTGCCTCCAGATCCAGCACAATTGTCCTTCCAGGCAAGCCAATCCCAATTCAATGGCCAGGTGTAGTCTCAACTTTTCGACAGCTTTCACAAACAGTTACAACTCTCAAGATAACAGTACTAGCTGAGAGTTAACCATCTGGCAGAGGTCATCATAGCAAGTTCCAAATTCTTACTGGATGGAGGAAGAAAACAAAACACAGCAACCATAAATCATCTCTAGCTTTCACAAGGGAAGATTATTTAAAAGAACATGAATGCTCATCAAAGAAGGGGCAGATATGGTAAAGTTTTAGGAAAGGATCAAACTATGACCTAAAGTCTCAGAGCAGAAAAGTTGGGGTAAGACTGGAAATATGTCATAATCCAAGGAGGCACTGAAGTATGATTCTGGATGTCACAATTGCAGTTTTTTCAGCATGTAGGAAAAAGTCAGGTATAAGTGGTAAGGAGATTAAAACAGTATGGTAACAAGAAGGATCTCAAGGACAGTAGAAAAATCTGGAGACTTTACCATTCCGTATTTCAAGAAAAATCACAGCAATTTGCTAGACTAGAATTTTTAAGCCCAGAAACCCAGAAGCAACTGGGCAGGGTAAGAATCCCAGTTCAGGATTACTGGGTAGAAAGTAATGCATTAGAATATTTTAACGAGATAATGCAAAGGAAGTAACGAGTTCCTATTCGCCTATTCTCGAGAAAAACGAGGTGAGACAAGGGGTGAGAAAAGGACACCAGCTTCCCTTTCTTAAAGAGAATCACAAGAAGCCATTACAGCACTACTCAGTGAATTAGCATTCCTCCCCCTCCCCCCCATCACCAAATCAGGAAGAGGAAGACGAGACTTCTGGGGGGGGGAGGATTTTGGGGTGGCTGGAGAAGACCTTAACTTGCAAAGGACAGGCGGGGCTGGGGTGTGTGTGAGAAGCTTAATTAATACCCACCTTTTGGACCCAGAGCTAGGCATCCGATCGCAACGTGTTAGGAAGGGTGGGGAAGCGGCAGAGACTGAAGAGGCAACCGCTGCAGTTGAGATAACGGGCAGCTCTTTTTAAAAGAGGCAGTGGGTGAGTAAAGGAGAGGAGTCCTTCTTCCGCGACCCCACTCCCATCCTAGCGCAGCATCCTCTTCGCCCGCTTCCCGGTCTCCCCACCGAGGCTCCCGCAGATTCAGCCGACAGGAAACGCTCCCAATCTGTACCCCGGATATGGAGAAAGAGGAGGGGGAAAACAACCACACATGCACCACACCGGGTCTACCACAACGGAGAGGCGGGGCAAAGCGTGGCCAGTCCAAACGCCTCGCCCACGTGACAAGCTCTCCTGGCCAATCCGACTTCTCCCGGCGATGAAGGTGAAAATCTCTTGCCAGCCGGTTCTTTTGCTTTTGCCCTTACCGGAAGCGTCCTCTTCGGAAAACTGCCGACTGGAAACGCGTTTCCAATACTACGTTATTTTTGGTATTATTTCTTACCCTTGCACAATCCCCATCTATGTATTTTTTTACAACAACAACAACAACAATCTACCGTATATTCTTTTCCGCTTGAAATTATCTATTTCAATATCACGATCGTCTTCCCACAGCCAACAGTGATAGAAAATATGGTATGAAACATTAGGGCTTCCAGGTCCCAACTGCACGAATCCAGACGACCATTAGATTGCACAAAGGACTGGGAGATTTTTGCATCTTTTTTGCAAGGCAGATAAAAACTGCCAAGTCCTGTAAAATTGAGAAGAGACAGAAGCCTCTGAACACTTGTTCTAGAACCCCAGTCGTGCCTTGAAAGATTGTGAGGTTAGCTCCTGTGTCAAGAAATTAGTCTCATTGGAGATATATGGGGATAGGGCAGTGATGGCGAGCCTTTTAGAGACCGAGTGCCCAAAAACTGGCCCCACCCCTGCTCTACCCCCTGACCTGCTCCCGCTCTGCCCCCTCATCCCCGCCCCACCTGCCCACAGGGCCACTCACCGCCTCCAGGGCCCGCTGCAGATTGCTCAGGCAGCCCAGCAGCGCTATGGCAGTCACGCCCTCTGCCTGCGTCCTGCAGCATCAACTGTGCATGATGGGGTGTGAGGGCAGAGTCTTGTCTACGCTGCCTGGCTGCCATGTCCTTGGCTGCGCTGCTCCGGGTGTGGGCCACGCCCAGGGGCGACTCTCCTTCAGGGGGGTTGCTGGAGAGGAGGGGGTCGCAGGGGGAGGCGAGGCTGGGGCAATGGCATGTGTGCCCACAGAGAGGGATCTGAGTGCCGCCTCTGGTACCCATGCCATAGGTTCGCCACCACTGGGATAGGGTATAGTGGACCTGCAGCATCCCAGCAATGATGGACCACAGCCTCCAACCTCTTGGGACAACCAGGCTCTGACTCTAAAAGAGCATCAAGTTAGGGAAGGAGTTGGGTGGCAATGCATTTGGAATCGGGCTCTTGCATTGTAGTGTGGGAAGTCAGCCCCCCAGAGAAGGAAATATTAAAAGGGCAGAAAAATATATTTCCTCAAAGGATCTTAAAGAGGCAGAAAAGCATGCCCAGTTTTCTTAATAGCCCCAAGTCTCCCTCCCCCAAGCAGAAACCAGCTCTGTAGAAATGCAGATGTAAATAATCCAAGAAGGTTGGAAGTCCCCAGCTAGAAGATTATGAAAACAAAGACACCTAAAATCTATATACTCCACCCAAATTCTAAGACAGGACATAATAGGATTAACCCACAGATGCCAAAGGGACATAGGTCAAAATACATGACACAGGAAATACAAAGTCTCAAACAGGAACAGGAAACAACCTCAAGAGCCCCAGAGGGTATAAAAACCCACTCCCTACATGTGCTCTTCTCTCTTCTTCCAGAGCCATCTTTCTGTGTGGCTCTCCTCTCCAATAAACCGCAACCTTCTTTCTAAAGCAGTCACCATGTTGTTTATTCCCGGCTTGGACTGAACCATGATGAAGACTTTTCCTTCAACAGTAGCTTAGTTTTGTTGTGTCTGCAAGACCATCAGATTAAGAATAGGAGATCTTATTTTTAATGAATTTTTTAAATGAATTTCTGGATAATCACTGTTTTTTAGGCTTTGCTATGATTGTAAGAAACACATATTCAGGTAAGAGCATAGGTGTGTGAGATTATTTGTGAAGGAAGTTTGCATGACATAAAGATCAAGAGCATCTGGAGCGCATAGCGCAGGAAAGGAAGAGAAAGGTTAAATGTCCCCGATTAGGATGGTAGCCCCTTCCCTGACTCTAAAGTCAGGAGGGAACATGGCCTGCACTCTAAAATTAGTTTCTGTCCAACATTACCATTTGTTCCACTCTTCACCAACTTTGGCTCAAGAACAACATTAAAATGTAACAGAATAGCATCCCAATATAAAAATGTAGGAAGGCAAAATAAAGCAGCATTAACACAAAATAAATGATTATTGTAAAAAATAAAATAAAAATCAATTTATCCCACAGAATGCTTCTGGGGATAAAAGTGGTGGAGGAGGAAAAAGCTCCCCCCAAAATTCAAGCATTATAAAATAAGAAAAGGGAAAAGAAGAAAACCGAATATTCACTGTTAGAGGGCACCAGGTATGACAGAAACAAGTTGATAAAAGAGGCATGCTTTCAATAAACACTTTGTAAAGTTTTGGCAAAATGGCCATCTAACAGTCATCTGGATTTTTGCAGCCAAAATTGAAAAGTCCTAATCCAAAGTGGTTGGTCTTGTATAGTGGGATTTCTGGAAGCTTCTAACATTTTCTCACTGAAGGTTAGGCCATTATGAATGAAAATAACAGCTCCAGTTACTATTCTTTCTTTTCTTCCCTGGCAAATTAGAATTAATGGATTTAGTGTAACTAATAAAGATAGGATGAGAAATACCTGAAACGGCAACAATGTATGAAACAAACAAACTAGCCAACTCTCTTTTAGCTGACTATATGGCATGTCAACTTGGCCTATGCTAACTCTTGCTGCCATCTAGTGGTCAACATGTTTTTTGAGGGGAAAAACTCATTTAGCAATCACAGTTGGGACTGGCAACTCGGTCATTGAGTGGTTGTTAACAACAACATCTACAACAACAACAGTTCTGGAAAGAACAACATCCAGAATCAGAAATAACAGAACAGAAACTAGCAGATCAACGTCGATTTATAATATGAAATAAAGTATTCACAGCAACAGAATTGGACAAACTGCAAAGGTTTACCCAGGGCAAAGAAATCAAAGCCTTGCCAGAAGTAACTCAGAATGTAGAGGCAAACTAGGGGGAGTTGGCAGTAGCGGAATCCAGCAGAGATATACAGCTGTTTTCATTTGGAAACCAGTCAGCTCTTCCTCAGGAAGAACAAATCCCTCTAACTAAAGAAATAAAAGAACTGAAACAAAGAATAACTGAGCATCTAGAACAGGGGTGTCAAACTTGCAACGTCTCATGATGTGTCATGACCTATCATGACTTTTTTTCCATTGCTGGCAATGGGATGGGTGCGGTTTTGCCATGATGCATCCGGCCTGTGGGCCGGCAGTTTGACACCCCTGATCTAGAACAGCACAAAAACAACAAAATAAGGCTGGCTGTATTGATGCTTGCGTCAAAGAAACAGCTAGCACAAGCATTAAAAGATGCAAATGCTGCAATATCAAGTATAAGCACCACTGCAAGAAACAAACCAACAAATGTACAACACAGCTGCAGTTATAACTGAATACCTGGGATGCAAAATCAACAAAGAAGAAAAAAAACAAATAGTGCACCACAAAAATGGAAGGTTAGACTGGAAAATAAGATCAGCAAGTTGCAAGCAAGCTAGGACAAGTGAAAGAAAAGAAGCTGAAGAACAAGAAGACCAAAGAATACCCAATCAAGAAATGCCACTTAGAAACAAGGAAGATCAAGGAAGCACTAGAAATAATAAAACAGCAAATAACAGCTATAGCCCGGAAGATCAGCAGATACGAAGCTCGAATTGCAAATTATAGGCAGAACCTCCAATTTCAATCCAATCAGAAACATTTCTACCAATCCATCAATGGAGAAACCTGATAAGGAAGAAACAGTGCAGTTCTGGACACTGATATGGGATAACCCAAAGAAATACAATAAGGACACAAATTTGCCATCAGTCAATTGCAAAAGGCAGCCTTACTAGGAACAGCTTCCATCCTGCGATGATATCTATAATACCATCAAACATCCACATCTGCCTATTCCAGGTCCTTGGTAAGGACTTGATAGGTAGACAAAAATGCCAAATCCAGTCTGAACATCTGGCTGACTGTGCGATGATCAATAATAATAATAAAGTTGAAAGGGACCTTGGAGTCATCTAGTCCAACCCCCTGCTCAGGCAGTAAACCCTACACCATTTCAGACAAATGGCTGTCCAGACAAATGGCTGTCCAATTACTTGAAACCGTGACTGTTCTTATGATTTTATTTCAGCTTTTCTTTGATTTACATATCTGTGAAAATTCTAAATGCGAGGAATGGTCGTAAAGTTACTTTTTCATCACCATTATAACTGCTAGTAATTACTAAACAAGGCAATTGCTAATGACAGTTCCCTGTACTAACAAGGTCTTACTGTGTTTAGCTTTTGGGGGATCATCTAAGGTGCCTTGGATGCTGCCATCTGCTATGATGTATTTGTATTTGCGTAGTTACATGTGAAAAATACAAGAGGTTTGAAATGGTTGACAACACTTTAAACATTTGAAACACTTGAAATAAAATGAAGTTACAATGCATTTTAAACAAGTGGATTAACTGAGGCAGTGGCCTTAAACTAGTCTTCCAATCTGATAAGCTGTAGATGTATTAAACTACCGCTAGCTGTCAGACAAGGCAGACATAATCTGAAACATTTAGATAATACGTGATAGATCAGGATACAATATATTTACTTCTAAGTTGATATAAGTCTTCAATTTATAATACATTTAGGAATAAGACCCACTGATTGACGTTCACATTTCTTCTTAATATGTATACATAAGATCATGTTCTTATTTAATTA